TATTATTTTTCTTTATCACTTGTGCACTAAAGAAAAGTCGGAGACGAAGTGGAAGCTGCTTCTGTTCTTCAATCTTGTCTTGCAGCAAAATATCCCCAAACAATTGTTTATCCAGTATTCTCTTTTCAGCGAGTTGACAACTTCTGAAAACTGTGTGGGCTCCCACACATCATGGCTGCACAAGGCCACAGGAACAAAAAGGGGGTGGGGGGGCATTTATTATAAAGATCAATCAATCTACAGCTTAAGGGAGATTTGTGGTAGCAAAAGATTGCAAAACGTTCTCCCCACGCCAGCCAAACTTTAACATCACAACAGATTTTAAAAACAAGAAAAGAAATGTGTGGAGAAACAACATAAACTTAAAATTAAAATAATCTCAAGTTAAAACCACAGATAAAAGCTACACTAGAATTTTAGACAAAGTTTTCAAACTATTTTGCTGCAGCAAAAATCCCATGTGGACTACAACAAAACTACATCTGTTCACCAGGAAAGGGGTCCCCATACTTTTCCATGCCATGGCCTCCAAACAGCATTAGCTTCTGGCCGAGGGCACCCTCACAAACCAACAAACAATGCTACAAAATATGGAAAGAAGCATGAACGTTTAGAATGCTTTAACTTTTATTCACTTTATTCAATTAATTATTACAGCTGCTGAGCATAAAAATGTTATCAGAGTCAGAGATTCTTTATTGTTGTTCGTGAAATTATGTTCACAGGGTCCCAGTTACATCCAACAATAAAACGTAAAAAAACCCAGTAATGACATCTAAGACATGAACTAAGAAAAACATCAACTAAATATACACTAAGCACTAATAGCATAAAAACATTACGTTGAACAGCAGCACGAACATGAGCATGAGTCTGTGTGAGCAGATGAGCACGCATGAACACATCAACACGTGAACATGTTTTAAACACTGAATTATATTCCCACTGAAAAAAACAACTTTTCAACAAACTGTTGACCAGAAGAACAAAACTAAAGAAATCTAACCTCTCTCAAGAGTGCTAATGACAGATACAGATAGCCCTATTGTGCAGTTATTATTATTATTATTACCATTTTTTATTTTTGCTTTTTAAAATTTTTTTAATCTTCTCTCCAGCTTTCTGGGCCCCCTGGCAGTCACCCAGGGGGCCATGGCCCCCACTTTGAAAAACACTGCACTAGGACTCATTCCTTTTCTGGACAAAAAAATCAAAAGGACCAACAACAGAGAACGCAAACAAGACTAGTCTACTTTCAGATTGCTCCTCTTATTTTGGACCCTGAATGCCAGCAGCACACTACAAGAGGTAAACATGCATTTGCAAAATAAATTAATAAATCATAATAACCTCAAACAGAATAAGAGCCATGCTGGAAACCTTCAGTATTTGTATAAATATTAAACGTAACAAGGGGAACACCCCCATCGATGAAGAATTTGAATAGTGAATTTTTGTAGTATTTGAGATTAATGTTTTTCTGGACTGGAACTGAACAGGGAATGCAAGTAAACCTTAATGTTTTTAGTGCAATATATTCAAGTGGGTAGAAGTTACACTGTAAAGAAGAGAGGTGGATTCTTTATTTTTTGCTTGTTTGGGGCAGCACAAAATGATGGAGCCTGCCGAATGGTGGGAGAAAATGTATCCACGACCAGGTGCTGAGCCAGAGGGTAGCCTGTGGTGGCCTTGCCCACCATAGATTAATCTTCTACCACCACACTGGCCACTCCTCAAATGATTGGGGTGGGCAGTTTACGTAAATGAGTAAAATGAGTCCATGTGACTCAATGAGACTAGATTGCATAAATAAAGGTATGAAAAAAAAAAAAAATATGGCGGTGGCCATGTTGGTTTTTGGCATGATAACCAATTTTTCAATAGTGATCTTTTATAATACAGCTTTTGTTTTTCTTTCAGCTGCTCCCTTCTTCAGGGGTCACCACAGT